AGGCGGGCGGATCACTTGAGGCCAGGAACTCAAGACCAGCCTGGCCAATATGGTAAAACCCCATCTCTATCACAAATACGAAAAAATTATCTGGCTGTGGTGGAGTGCACCTGTAATTCCAGCTACTTGGGAGACTGAGGCATGGGAACTGCTTGAACCCGGGAGGCAGAGGCTGCAGTGAACCAAGATGGCACCACTGCACTGCAGCCTGGGTGACAGAGCAAGATTCCGTCTCAAAAAAAAAAAAGAAAGAAGGTTGGGCACAGTGGCTCATGCCTGTAATCCTAGCACTTTCAGAGGCCAAGGCGGGTGGATCATGAGGCAGGAGATCGAGACCATCCTGGCCAAAATGGTGAAACCGTCTCTACTAAAAATACAAAAATTAGGTAGGTGTGGTGGCAGGCGCCTGTAGTCCCAGCTACTCGGGAGGCTGAGGCAAGAGAACTGCTTGAACCTGGGAGGCAGAGGTTGCCATGAGCCAAGATCGCACCACTGCACCAGCCTGGCGACAGAGCAAGACTTCATCTCAAAAAAGAAAGAAACAAGAAAAACAAACGAATCCAGCAACCCCTGTGCACTGCACATTTCCTTCCTGGGGTGGGTGGGAAGGAAACAGCAGGACCTACCACAGCGAACTCGTCTCGGTCCAAGTGCCCATCCTTGTCAATGTCACTGAGGTCCCAGACCTGCAAGGGAGAGACCAGCATGGGTTACTGTGGGAGGAAAGACTGGGTGAGAGTGAGACCACCTGCCAGAACTCAGACTCTCAGCCATGGTACTCACTGGGCTCAGGACAAGGAAGTCAATATACGTTTCAGAACCAGTTTGCGAGTTCTCAGAAAAACCATCACCTGTAAAGTACTGTCAACTACCAGATGCATGGTCTGACAATCATCATGATTATAATCATGGCCAAGGCTACATTTTAAACTTAGCCTGAGTTTCCTCTTTATCATCTCACAGAGACATCTTAGAAAAGACAGCTTTGATTGAGTACAGGTGTTGCCCTAAACACCCACACTCCCTACGCTCACTCCTGCAAACCCCACCCCTCCCTTGCATTCTCAGCTGGGCAGGGCTGTGAGCTCATGTCTGAGCATGTCTGTGGGTCTTGTCTCCTCTCCCCAGCAGTGGATGGTGAGACAGGTGTCAGGTCCACTCAGTGTGCTGAAGAGGAGGCAGGCAGGCAGGCGTGGGTTCTGGACTGTGCCTAAGACATGTGCAGATCTCAAGCACCATTACGCTGCCAGCTTCCTAACCCATGCCAGCCTTCCTGGATGGGCATACCTGCCTGCCAGGCCAATGCTAGGCAGGATGGCAGTCCCTGGATCTAAGAAGATGCCCACTGCTCTATCCATGATGCTTCATGTGTCACCATCACCCCTCCCCAGCCAATCACCAGGGCTTCAGTCCATGCAGGTTTCTCACGTCTGGGTCCTCCTCTCCACCTCTGCTGCTGTGCTCGAGGCTCATGACTCCCCAGCTCGCACAGCCAAGAGCCTCCAGCTGGCCTCCCTATCCCAGTCTTGTCCCTATGGCTACCATAGGGACTGTTCCAGAACACACACCTGACCCTGCCTCACCCTGCTCCTCAGCCTGGCATATGGGGCCCTGTCACCTCGCTGCTGCTGAGCCCCTGATGGTAGCAGGTCCCTGTACCCCAGCCCAGCCTCCACAGACTCCATGGGGTCCTCCACGTACTTTGCCAGGGATCCAGGACTCCAACAGGCCTTTCTGGCTCCACAGTCCTTCCTCAGCCCAGGCCTTCCCCACCTCGGCACTACTGCCTGTTAGGGCCGGATCACTCTCTGGGGTGTGGGCCATGACGTGCACTGCAGGGCATTGAGCAGCGTTCCTGGCCTTGACCCACCAGATGCCAGCAGCACCCGACCCAGGTGTGACAACCAAAAATGTCCCCAGGCACTGCCCAATGTCCCCTTGGGGGCCTTGGGGGGGCAGAAGTGCCCAGGGGGAGCCCTGGCCCTAACTGGCATGCCAGGCTACCTGCGGCCTCTGTGCCGTCACTCAAGCTGCCCACATGCCCAGACTTCCGCCAGAGTCCCCCTCACCCTGGAGGATGTGACCAGCGGCACCTCTTCTAGAAAGTCCTCCCTGGCTGCCCTGCTCCCCGTGCTCAAGCGGGTCAGGGGCCCTCCCCTCTACCACTGTCCTCACTGGGCCAAACTGTGATTATCAGGGGTGCTGTCGGGGGTGTCTAATGGACAGGGCAGGTGAAGAGGGCAGGCTCTGGGGACAGCTGCTCCAGAATGCACACTGGATCCTGCCCCGCTCTGCCTGCAATAGGACCTTATCCCTTATCCACCCTTCCACAACTGTGCAACCAGGGTGACTTCCCAACCACCCTGAACATCTGCTTCCCCATCTGAAAAACAGGGGGTGGAGGGGTGTGAGACACAGTCCTTAACAGCATGGCTGTAAGTGCTGGATGTGTGTCTTCATGCAGAGCACTAGGGCCCGGCCAGCACACACTAAGCCCTCAGTAAATAAGTAAATAAGTAAACGCATCTTGGCTATTACTTATTTGACTTCTTTGATGGTACCTAATCATCCCCACCTTCCCACTGCCCAGCACAAGGCATAGTCCACTGCAGGCTCTGAAAAATGCTTACTGAATGACTGACCAGATGCATGATGTGTGGGTGCCTGGATGCACAGGTGGATGATGGCATGGATGCAAGTGTGCACGGATGAATGCATAAATATGGACACACAGGGACATGTCAGCATAGACGTACGGGCACAAAGATGCATGCACAGATGTGTGGATAAATACATTGCATGGGCATGTGCACACACAGATGAATGGATCATACGGATGCAGAGGGACATGGGTGCATAGATGCATGGATACAAAGATGCATGCATGGCTAGGCACAGTGGCTCACGTCTGTCATCCATCCCAGCACTTCGGGAGTCCAAGGCGGGTGGATCACCTGAGACCAGGAGTTCGAGACCAGCCTGGCCAACATGGTGAAACCCAATCTCTACTAAAAATATAAAAATTAGCTGGGCGTTATGGTGTGCACCCATGGTCCCAGCTACTCAGGAGGCTAAGACAGGAGAATCACTTGAACCAGGGAGGCGGAGGTTGCAGTGAGCCAAGATGGCGCCAG